ACCAAAAGCATAACAATCTCTCCTGCATTATTATACATGATAAAAAATAAATTTTAAGGACCAGAAACATTCTAATTTCCAGCAGTGTGAAAACTATAAACAAAATTCTAGCACATCTACACAATGGAACTTTAGGGAGCCACTAAAACTGATATTTATACAGGGTTATAAATAACATGAGGGAGAAGTTCATATTGTTCATTTGTCAAGTGCAAAATCACAGGAAACAAAATCATATGTACAGCGTGGTCTCGCTTATGTAGAAAGAATAGCGGGGGACACCAGACCAGAAAGAAGTATAGCGGCAGAACAGCCATCTGGACCACAGAATGCTCTGTAAACACTGTTTTCAATACTTTCTTTTCAAAATACTCTATAACGAATACGGAGCTTTTAGATGAATAAGGTCTGTGAGTTTGTTCTTAAGTAACTTTTTTGAAGGGTATGGGGAGTAAACCCATCAGGTTAAAGCAAAATGTAAGGCCTTCTCTTGGCTTTCAGTTCGGCCACTGGCTGTACAAAAACATAAATCCATAGATAAGGATATTGTATTATTTTGTTTTATTAGAAGCCAGGCACCTTCTCTCTCTCCTCACCCCACCCGGAGCAAGGGTCGGCCCGCGTGGCGGGTGACTGGGGAGCGGCCACATGGCCGGGGCTGGCCCGAACGCGCGCTCTGGGCGCCCTGGAGCTCACGCACACACTGAACAGAAACTATGCACTCGGAGTCATAAACCCCCGGCTTTCCAGTCACCCTCTTAACTGGCTGCTCGGCTTCTGTCCCCGCGAAATCCTAGCCGTTCGCGGGCACGTGCCCTCAGCTGCCTTCCGCGCTGTCACCCCGAAACCCTGGCCTGGAGAAACGCCGGCGCCACACCCGACGGGGCGTCCCGCTGTCAGTCCTGGCCGTGAACTGCGGGTGGAGCCTGACTTAACGCCGCCTGCAACGCCCAGCGTGTCCACGGACCCTCTCCTCCCCCCCCCCCCCCCCCCCCCCCCCTCGCCGGGCCCCGCTGCCCGCTTCACTGAGAGACGTGAGGACCCGAGAGGAAAACGTCAGGCAAAACCACCGTGTTGCTTAGCCGCCCCCCGCACCTCTCCGGAGCCCCCCCCGCCTCTCCAGAGGCCCCCCCCCGCCTCTCCGGAGCCCCCCGCGCCTCTCCGGAGCCCCCCGCGCCTCTCCAGAGGCCCCCACTCGTGCGCAGGACGTCCCTCCCTCCCAACCGCTTCCCGCCACACTTCCCGGTCACGCGCACCAGCACCCCCGTGTCGACCCCTCCCCCGCCAGCCGCGCCCCGGCGCTTCAGCCCCCGCCCCCCACGCCGGAGACCGTCCCGCTCTCCCACGGCACGCACAGCCTGCTCGGCTCACCCCCGGCCTGACCCGAGCCGCCGCGGGCAGCCCCGGACCCGCGTGCCGCCCGCGCGCCCTCCGCTCGCGGTTTCGGGCAACTCCCTCCTCGACGCTGCCGGTGACCGCCTCAGGGACATCCCAGAAGTAAAGTCCGGCCCGTCCCCGCCCAGCCCCGAATCTGCTCTGCTCGCAGCCTGCAGCCTGCGGGGGCTCCGCTCGTCCGACGGCGGATCGGAACGCGGCGCCCCGGCACCCGGGCTGCCCGCACACACCGCACCCCGCTGGCGTCCCAGCCCCGCTCGGCCCGGGCGCGGCACGAGCACGCGACCCCAGCGCACGGCTCCGCGCCACCGAACTGCCGGCAACTCGTTTCCCGCTTTCTCCTCGGCCCGGCCCAGCCCTGGCCCCGGGGCCGGGCACAGATGCGCATGGTGCCGCAGCCGGGCAACCAAGTGCTTTATCTCTGGCCCAGGCGCATCGCGTCGCGTGGCAGCACCCGCGAAACTGCCAGGCTACCCCGTGGGCTCGAGCGTAGGGTGAAATTCCCTACGCCTCCGTTCCTGACAACTACGTGTAAATAAAGACAAGTGAAAAATAGTTACTGTAATAGCACGGCTTTGACTTCCTTCAGGGCCCCTAGATCTTACACAATGAGCTTCATTTTCAAAAGTACTGTGACGATTTACATGGTTACAAAGGTAAAGAAATTTAAAGGTAACAAAGTTAAGAAAAGTGGACTTAGAGTTGCCATATAACTTAAAATTTAATGAATTAAGAAGCTCTAATAATTTTCAAGTGACGCTTTCCCACTGTTATAAGCTACTGACACAAAAACATAGGGTAGCAGGAGTACTGCTGTGCTGTGTGACACTGAGCCTGTTTTCCCACATAAAATAAACAGGCTGACCTCTAGAGCCTGTCTACCTCCGAAAGAATCTGGTTCAATGGAAATAAGAACATTCAGAGACTTAGAAATTTAACCTGCAGGGAATAAGTTTTACCGTGTCGAACACACTTCTATTAAGTTGAATATGAACATGTTCATAAATTCAGTCATTTAGAATGTTAATAGAGCCGGCTCCTAAGAACTGATTAATGACATAAATTCACTCCTCCTTAATTTTTTAACTCAGATTTTAGTATTTAAAAATTTTTAAAGTAGCACACTTGGGGTGCCAGGCTGGCTCAGTCAATGTAGCATAGGACTCTTCCTTTTGGAGTTGTCATGAGTTCGAGCCCCACATTGGATTAAAAAGTAAAATCTTTAGAAGAAAGTAGCACACCTATACACCAATTTATCTCTGTCGATAGGTATATACACATATACATTTTAACGTATACATTTCTACATTTAATGTATACATTAAGAAGCTAAGAACTCAGTGAGTTCCCTACACAATTTCACTCTTTTCACTGCCGATAACAAAGTAAGGCCTCACAGGTTAAAGTAACCAATAGATTAGACCCTTTGAGAATTTTTTACAAACTACGGACAAATAAGGCCCAAAGATCTACATTTGCTGTTGTTACTTTTATTCTGGCTTAACAAATTGAAGAAAAAACTAAGAAAATCAACAAATCAACTAAAAAAAAAAAACTAAGGAAAAAACTAAGAAAATCAACTAAAGAAGACCAACATCTGATGAAGAAGAGCTTCAGTCAAGAAAAGAAAACGAAAGGGAAGAAATTATAAAAGAAACTTTAAAAATGTTCCCGGGACTGAACAACACAAGCTCACAGACTGAGAGGATCCATGGAATGCTCTGTATGGCCAAAGAAGAAAAAACGAATATCAGGCACACTATGATGAAATTTTAAAATTTAGGTGATAATAAAAAGGTACTAAAAGTTCCCAAAAAAAGAGAAAAAAGAATACATACAAATGATTGGGAAGCAGAGAGCAACTTAGTAACACTGAAAGCTGGAAGCTGGTGGTTTCAAAACACTTCTCACACCTTGCAGGGCCATGTGACGGGTTCCAATGCATGTGTGAACGTGTGAGAAAAATGACCTGGGTCACTTCTGGGCCAAACATCTCAGTGCCAGCATATGGCCCGTGAGCTCTCCTCTGCACCTGCTGCAGTGCCTCAGCGCCGCGGGCTGATGGACAGGGAGCTGTGGGTGAAAGCGGACTGGGTCCAAAGAGGTGGCAGAGGAGCCCCAGGCCAGGTGCAGACGTGGTGACACAAGAAATAACCTGTATTTACACACGAGAACATCTGAGTTCATCTGCCACTGCAGCGGCACCCACTCCATCCTGATGAAACTCGTAACCCAGAATTCTACACAGCCAGACCGGAAGTCAGAGGATGTGGGACCTACACGGTTTCCAAGGTCATGAAAAAATAAACAAGCACCTCCCCCATCCCTTTCTGAGTAACTTACTAGAAGAATGAGCTCCATGAAATCCAAGAAGTAAACTAAGAAACAGAACACAGGCAACCTCGCTTAGGAAAGAGGAAAAGAATCTCTACTCCCGCTGTCCACCCTGTTTGAGATAATGTCCCCGCCGCCTGCAGCTCCTCCCAAACAAAGGTCACCTTCCAAAAGCCAGCTCAACTATGACATCATCCACAGACTCCATCCACACTGCCCGCCACCTAAGAGTAAATGAAAGCATCCTGCCTTAACTGCAAGAAGAGCTGCACACACCAGACTCCATCCTTCCTGAAATCTGCCGGTAATGTGGTCCATGACCGTGAGCAGATTAACCACTCTTAGTCTCAGTTTCCTCACCATCCGTGTAAAGACAAAGCTGACCAATAATCAGAAGGTTCTTTCTAATTCTAAAATGCAAGGGCACCCAGGTAGCTCAGTGGGTTAAGAGTCTGAGTCTTGATCTCGGCTCAGGCATGACTTCACGATCTGTGAGATCAAGCCTTGCTTCTGGCTCTGCATGGACAACATGGGGCCTGCTTGGGATCCTTTCTCTCCTCCTCTCTCTGCTCCCCCCGCCCCCACTCGTGCACAGGTGTGTGCTCTCTCTCAAACCAAATAAACCTTCATAAAAGTAATAAAATGCAGTAATTCTGCAAATACACAAAACTACTAAAATCCAAATACAATTCTATGTATGTCACATGCTTACACACTCTGCCACTCTGACATTTGGTAATAATATTATTCCCTAAGTATGTTGTTTTCACTTTCAAAAGCAATGTCAACAGATAAAAATGACTATTGTCACAAGGATGAAGAGATTTCCTTTAAAAGCAAAATTAAGCCTTAATAAGAAACATCTCATTACTATAAACACCGTAACAAAAGTCAGGAAGGGAAAATCATACAAAGTAACAAGCCTATCAGTGAGAGTTCACCTCACGCTAGAGGCTATTAAGGCTGCTGCTCCAACCGTCCAGGCCACGGGTGTGCCCAGAGCACCTGGTCACCACAAGGACCAGCAGCAGCAGAGCCAGACACCAGGCCGCCCAGGGCACGTGATGAATACATGTTTTAAGTACCTCTAAACAGTGACACTCATTTCTTAAAATTGTTTTTGATGGAAATCTTTTCTAATAGGAACCACATATTCCTTTCATTCTCTTCAAAGAGACACTTGAAGCACAAGCGTGTGTGTTAAATACAATCTCACGCTGTAACTAAAGAGCTCCGTATAGACACCCGCCCCCTCAGATGACCAGATTTACCTGCAGGGAAATTTCAGGACGGCACAGGGACATCTTCAGGTTTACGGACGCTCAGGGGACGGCTTGTCTCCCAGGCCTTCAGAGGGATTGTCTTCTCTTCTCTCTTTCTTCTCTACTACTCAACAGTCCGCTCCCAAGGACAGTGGGACAGCCACCGCTCCCCAAACATAGTCTCCAAGCGTGATGCCCTTTTAATAATTTTAAGAAAACGTTTCAGTGTGATGGCTGTTAACAGTGATATAACAAAGATTAAAACAGTTAGAAACACAAGAGCCCGGGGCTCTGCAAGTGCACAGCAGCGCCCAGAACGTCCACATTCTGTGGCTCCCTCCGTCTGACTGCGCCCACCCGGTGCCAGGCAGCCCCGTGGGGGCTCACGCAGGGGCCTGGGACGCTTACGATCCCGCAGCTGGCACCATTTATACGTCTGTGGGCTCCCCGGTCTTTCCTCTTATTTTCATTTCTCTCGTCCCTTTGGTCTTATGCCCTTTCCCCACACAGGGCTTCCTTAACAAGAAAAACCACGTCTTACATACAGGTCACTGATTACCCAGGATACTCCTTCTAACTAATCACAGAATATTTTAAATTAATTATTACTATTAGCGCTTGTTATAGTCAAGGCACTGAACCCATACATTTACACGCATTTCTCATTTCATTTTCACACCAATGCTTAGAAAGGCACTATTATGATTTTACAGATAAGGCATGGAAGACAGATTTTTTTTTTTTTTTTTTTTTTTTTTAAAAACCTCCCCTATAGGGGCACCTGGGCTCAGTGGGTTGAGCTTCTGACTTGTTTCAGCTCAGGTCATGATCTCAAGGTTCGTGAGTTCAAGCCCCACATCAGGCTCTGTGCTGACAGTACGGAACCTGCTTAGGATTCTCTCCCTCTCCAAATAAATAAACTTTAGAAAAGGTGGGTGGGACACGTGGATGCCTCAGTCGGTTAAGTGTCTGACTCGATTTCAGCTCAGGTCACGATCTCGTGGTTTGTGGGATTGGGGCCTGCATCAGCATGGAGCCTACTTGGGATTCCCTCTCTCCCTCTGCCCCTCCTCCACTCATTCTCTCCCTCTCTCTCTCTCAAAATAAGTGAATAAACTTTAAAAAAATTAAAAATAAAATAAAAACCTCCTCTATAAAATCAGAGCTAAAATTCAAAGCTAGATGGGCATCCAAATAAAGACAGCATTCCCCAGCCACAGTCAGAGTTATCTGGGCCTCCAATGTGTCTAATTCCAAATGAGGCTTTTCCCTGCTGCTTAATTCCACAGCAGATAACTGAGGATGCCAGGGCTTCCAGAGCCAAGGTTTTGCCTTATTGAGCTATGAGTTAACATCAAGGGAAATGTGCTTTGGAGTAGTTACTCTCCACACACCGCAGATAACTATACTTCAGAAGCGACGAGCGCCTGTCCATCTTCGTGACCAGCCAGCTGGACACGTGGGTGAACGCAGACACACCTAAAGCTCTACAGGTAAAGACAGTCCTTGGGGGCGTCTGGGTGGCTCAGTTGGTTAAGAGTCTGACTTTGGTTCAGGTCATGATCTCATGGTTCATGAATTCAGGCCCCGAGTCAGGCTCTGTGCTGACGCTCAGAGCCTGGAGCCTGCTTCAGATTCTGTGTCTCTCTCTGCCCCTTCCCCACTCACACTCCATCTCTCTCTCTCTCTCTCAAGAATAAACATTTAAAAAAAAAAAAAAGACAGTTCTTGGGGTTACCCGGCTGGCTCAGCTGGTAGAGTATGCAACTCTAGATCCTGGGGTCGGTGAGCCCTGGGGGCGGCTACTGAGCTGCCCATCACCTTGGGCATAGAGCTTACTTTAAAAAAGAAAAAAAAAAGGAAGTTCTCATGATGTGAGGCTACTTGGGCCACGTAGTTACAAAAACTTTGGCCTTATTAGTGCTGCGATTTACTCAGCTAGGCAGGTCAGCTCAGATGGGGATAAACAAGCAACACAAAAAGACCACCAGATTTCTATGATCTAAGGCATATCCTTGCCTTCAATGTGTAGATAACAATGTAAAAACTACAATCTCGTTTTGTGTCATGTCCCCACGGGCTGTGTTAGGGAGACACAGAAGAACCACAGACCACCGTCTGCCCATATGGGACTTACATGTGGACAAAGAACAAGACAAATAAACAAAACAGTTACAGACTGAAATAATCCTTATGAGAAAACACACAAACTGGTAAGACCTAATCAGATGGGCCTACTGAGGGAGCTGTAAGAACAGTGTAGACTTCCCTGATACAGTGAACCTGGCATTAAGGTCTGAGAATGAACCAACCACAGGAAGAACACTCTAGGCAAACAGAACTACCATGTAAGATGAGGAAGCCAGAAACACCCTGCAGTGTTAGGGAATAGAAAGGACAGAGCGTAACTAAACGGTGAGACACACAGGGTTGTTCAAGTTGAGCTGAAGAACAAGGCGGAAACCTGGCAGCCCAAGACGGAGAGTCTGGATTTTACTTTAAACAAAATATACGTTCACAATAACTCTGTCAGGTGCATTTATTATCCCCACTTCAGACCCACAGAAGGACGAAGATTCGGAGGGGACATGAAATGTATTCGAGGTCCCAAGGCTAGTAACAGACACTGAAGATCAAACACCTCCGAAAGGTCCTTGGGGTGCAGCACGAGCGCTGACATCTTAAATGACTTCATCTGAGTACTTCTGCTCTGGAAACATCAACAAGACCAACAGTCACCTCAACGCAATGGTCCAAACTAAGTAAAACTTAAGGTTTGTATGGGTCACCAAAGACCCAAAGTAAATGTGTCCTTGGTCCTAAGCGTTCACAGCTCAGTAGTTAAACCAATGCACTGTACAGAATAACACACCACAAAAGCATTCAGGACAATTTCGCTGTGAACACAGTTTAAAACGTGTCCCACCGCTGTTTCTCGTTTCCTGCCTGAACGACTCTTTCGATCAATCTAAACATACAAGAAAGTTCCCCCTTTATATGACACACGCTAGTACTATAAATCCCCCCCCTTGTAAAAGGAGTAATCTTACAGAAGCACTCACGCACCACAGATGTGCCATTTCTAAAACTGGGAAAAGATTAGGGATGAGGACCAAGAACAGAAATAGATAATCTTCACTTCCCATAAAGGAGGCAACAAACAGGGGCACCTGGGTGGCTCAGTGGGTGATGGCCGGACTCTTGGTTTCGGCTCAGGTCATGACCTCACGGTCTGTGAGATCGAGCCCTGCAGTGGGTCATGTGCTGACAAGGAGGAGCCTGCTTGGGAGTCTCTCTTCCTCTCTCTCTCTCTGCCCCTCCCTTGCATGTGCTCTCTCTCCCTCAAAATAAATAAACTTAAAAAAAAAAAAAAAAAAGATGCGACAGACAGCAAAAGGTGATCTTAGTTTAGGTCATTTACTCACCTACCTACCTTTACTACATATTAAACTAGGTGCACACACATCCATTAGTTGTACTACGTTATAAATAAAATATAAATAACATGGGCTATCTACCTCATACTCAACACATTTGTATGTGTATCAACCCATTTCATGTGACTGCATATTTTTGAGACAACAGTAATTACCACGAATTCAGAAATGGACGTAACATTTCCTTTTTTCAGACTATCCTGTGACTTTTAAGTAAGATCACACGATTACGCCTATGAGCAAAATCAAAGATCCCTGCTATTAATAACACAAAAGTTTCCTCAAAACTCACTGGCAATGGAGAAAACGACCAGAGTTTTCTCTGCGGAATGAAGTTACGTAACAAGACAGCCTCAAGCAGACACTTGCTTCTGTTCCCCAAAAAGGCGGAGGTGAGAAGGAATATTCAGGAAGGCAAGACGAGTAAACCAGAGTGGGTACTGCAGAGCTTTCCCTCTGACGTCACTGGCACAGCCCAGGCCGGGTACCGCCCAGGTCAAAGGCAGCCGAACCCTCTCTCTGCCACCCACTGCAAGGTGCAGCCTTGGGAGGGTGTCACGTGACACCCCAGGGCGTGCCCCGGGGGCCCTGGAGGCCGTGTTAAGGCCTTGCCCTATCGTCCCACCAAAAGAAGAGTGCCAGGTACCCCACTAATTTAGAAGCCACTTACAGATCATAATCGAAGGAAAAAGTATTTCCAAAGAGATGCGAATGGAGACCTAAACAGGGTAAGGGCTCATCCTTAGCCCGATCAGGCTTTGGACAGCACTGGGCCAAACCCCAAGTTCTTCTGAGGATGGTTATGGGGCTCAGGGCCAGTGAGGCAGCTCCCCCAAGGCAGCGACGCCAAGGAACGTCCCGGGGCGGAGGCGCACGCTGCGTCTAGAACAGGGACCGACCCCGAAAGTTCCGGCACCCACACTGGGTGAGGCCGCCCGAGGGGAACGTCAGAAAGCACGCGCGGGGGGAGCCATGTACCGCACGCCGCCTTGCCGCGCTTCGCCTGTGACGCCTGGTGCCCAAGGCCAGCGACGTGTCGTCTCAGCGCCGACTCCCCACAGCGTCCGTACTCCACTCAAAGCTCATTCATTCCCGTCAGCTAAGGGGCTTCCACGCCGTTCTCTGTCGGCTTTTTTTTTTTTTTTAAACTCCAGGCAAACGTATGCCTACCACGGCTGAGAACACCTCGAACATTCCACGTCGCAGTCGACGGCGCTTTCACTTGTCTGATTACAAAACAGATCTGTATCCCGAGAAACACAGGCAGTGAAGCACGGATCTGGTGCCTCATTCACAGTTCTATCGGGATTACTACGTTCTCGGTCGGCGCTCAAAGCAGCACGTTGCCTTCTCCAGGGTGGACGTTCTAGAAAACATTCGCCGAACTGAACTCGAACCCTACGGGTCGCATTACCGGAAGCCCCCCGCCCCCTTCCCACCCGGCCCCTCGTCCCGCCAGGTGGGGACGCGAACCCCGCGCGGCCCGGCCCGACTCAACGCGAAGTTGGCGTCCGGCCTGCTGCACGCGTCCCAAGTTTGGTGCCAGGACCTGCCACCGGGAAGCGTCAACAGTTGTGCCACCTAACGAGCCACAATGGTGTCCCCGAAGTTGCCAACTCCTGAAGCACGTTGAAAAGCAAGGCCTGTCTCGGATCCGCGGGCCGCCCGGATTGCACAGCCCCCCGCACCGCGTAAGTGCGCCCGGCCCGGCGGCACCGCCACGCGCGGCGCAGACCCGGGCCCGCGCGACCTCCCGGCGGCGGCGGCGGCGGCGGCACGGACGCGGCCTGGGCCCCGCCGAGCCCGCCCTCCGGCCCCTGGACCGCGGCCCGGCGACGGGGACGCGGACGGGCCGCGCGGGGCCGAGCGCCGCGGTGCGAGCCGCGCAGGCCCCGCGCCGCCGCCGCCGCCGCCGCCCCAGGCCTCGCCGAGCCCCGGCCTCTCCCCGGCGGGGCTGCGGGCAACAAAGGCGGAGGCCGGGCCCGGCGCGCCGCGGACCGGGGAGGCCGAGGAGTCGGGCCGGCGCCCGGCGGAAGCAGGCCTCGGCCCTCCCGGGCCCCGCTCCCCCGCCCCGGCCCGGCTTCCCGGACGCCGCGCCCCGCCGGCCGGCCTCCCCCCGCCCCCCCCCCCCGCCCGCGGACCCGCCGAGGCGGCCGGGGGGGCCTCGCGCCGCCGGGACCCCGGGCTGCGGGCGCGCCGGGCGGCCTCGCCGTGGCCGCGGGGCGCCGGATCCGCCCCCGCCGCCGCGCGGGGGAGCAGCGGCCCCTGCGGCCGGTTTCCCGGGCCACGGAAAAGAGGGAGCAGAAAGCGAAGCCCAGACCCAGCCTCCGCCTCGGCTCCGCGGACGCTCACCGGCGGCGGCCCGCTGCGCTTCCTCGCCCAGCGCCGGCGCGACTGGCGCGCTCGTCCCTCCTCTCCCGCAACTCCTCCTCCCGCCGCCTTCCTCCTCCTCCTCCTTCTCCTCCAGGAGGGGCGCGCGGCGGCGCCTGGGCCAGTGCGCCGAGCGGCGGCGCAGGAGCCGAGCGGCCGCCCCGCGCCCTGCCCTCGGCCCGCGGCGCAGGCGGGCTCCCCGGCGCTGGGGGCGGGCCGGGCGGGGGGCGTCCGGGCGCCGGGGGCGGGGGCGCGCGGGGGCGCGCGGGGGGCGGGGCCGCGCGGGGTCGCAGGCGTCGGGGAAGGGGGAGCGGGGCGCCCGGGGGACCGGGGCGCGCGGGCGCCTGGGTGACGGAGAGGTCGGGGGACGCTCGGGTCAGGAGGGCGTGCGCGGGGCGTCCGAGGGACGGGGGGCGCGCCGGGTGTGGGGGCGGGGGCGCTGTGGGTCCGGGAGGGGTGCTCGCCGGCTGGAGTCGGGGGTCCGCGCCGCGTCCCGCGCGAAGCCCCACGACCCCTGCGGGCGGGTCCGGCCGCCCCTTCGGTGCCCGCTCTTCCTCTCCGCCTGCCCCCCTCGGGTGGCCCTGGGGGACGCGGAGGGGACAGGCTCGGCCCTCCTCTCGCCCCCGCGGCAGGGCGGCGGCCGAGGTGCGCTCACCTGGCGCGGCGACCCGGGCCTGCAGGTCCCCGAGGCCGGGGAGGGACCGAGGACCGCCGAGCCCGCGAGCCGCAGCGGGGCCACTGTGGGGGAGCCCGTCCCCACACCCTCTCCAGCTTACCCGGAGAATTTGCTTGACAGAAGAAAACTGATTACTTGTTTCAAGCCGTCTACTTTTCCATTTAGTCCTTTTATTTATTTATTTTTAAAATTTTTTATGTCTTTATCTTATTTTGAGCGACAGAGAGTGAGTGGGGGGAGGGGCAGAGAGAGAGGGAGACACAGAATCCGAAGCAGCTCCAGGCTCTGAGCTGTCAGCACAGAGCCCAAGGCGGGGCTCGAACCCATAGACTGTGAGATCATGACCTGAGCTGAAGTCAGACGCTCAACTGACTGAGCCCCCCCAGGCGCCCCTCCATTTAGTCCTTTTAATGTTTTACACCAATACTTCACTATTGTCTGTGCCTCAGGGTAGTGTCATGTAAATAGTTGCGTGTTGACAACCTGACCCATTTCTTTGGAAATTGGCTGAATGCGCCCCAGACTTATAGCAGTAACAGCAAATTTGATTTTTCGCCAATGAGAAGCTACAGAAAAATGGTCATTTCTCTTGCGATGAAAAGCGATTAAAGATAGGTATCTTTAAAATCTAGCTTAAGAATTATCGTTGACTTTATTTTTTTATAATTTTATTTTTACTTATTTTTAAAATTTATTTCTGAGGGAGAGAGACAGCGTGAGCAGGGGAGGGTCAGAGAGAGAGGGAGACACAGAAACTGAAGCAGGCGCGGCGCTGAGCTGTCAGCACAGAGCCTGACACTGGGATCGAATCCACAAACCGAACCCATGAGCCGTGAGACCCATGAACCCTGAGATCATGACCGAGCGGAGGTCGGACGCTTAACCAACTGAGCCACCCAGGAGCCCCTATCGTTGACTTTAAAAGTTGTGTTTCTTTAATTGGACCTTTATAAAAAAAAGAAACACATAACACTAGGGAAAAAAGTCTTAATGTTCAAGTGTTAATTTATATCTGAATTATATCTCAATAAAGCACCTAGTTAAAGTTCAAGAAATTGATCTTAATTTCCATAAATATCTAATTACACTACTCCTTTGAACAAAACGCAGATTAATAATTTAAAAGTTGGATTATCAGGTGATTCAATCGGTTTTTATGACTAGAACATGTTAAGGTTGATGTCATTTGTTGTGATTCACTGGACCCTTGTTATCTTCAGTTCTTACTTGAATTTGTGAATAAACCTTGAATTTATGATTATCCTGATCAAAATGCAACTCCATTTTCAAATAACTCATCACGGTGAATGCAGACTAAATAGAATGGGCAGAGAAGTTAGCAATAACAAGTAATGGTAAGAAAAGCAAACTTTTTTTTAATGTTTTATTTATTTTTGAGAGAGAGAGAGAGATCACGAGTGGGAGAAGAGCAGAGAGAGAGAGGGAGACACAGAATCTGAAGCAGCTCCAGGCTCTGAGCTGTCAGCACAGAGCCCGATGCGGGGCTGGAACCCACTAGTTGTGTGATCACGACCTGAGCTAATGTCGGCTGCTTGACCGACTAAGCCCCCCAAGGGCCCCAAGAAAAGCAAAGTTTTCAACCCCACCCTCTCTTGCTTTAAGCTGCCTCATAAGGATAGATTAGTGATCTGTCCTCTGATCTAAAGAAATCAGTGGCGGTTGGGTGTGCGAAGGGCCTGGGAGGCACTGAGCTAGCATAGCAGTGTGCTGGCCCCTGCAGCAGATGGAGCAAACCCTGGGCTTCTGAGCCTGTCAGCTGGCCAGCGTTCTTGGCTTTGACAGTTCGTGTACTTGTGTGACCTTAACCAAGGTTCTCAACTGCAACTTCAGTTTCTACTAGTAAAGAAACAGGGTGGGAACGGGGGAGCGGGTTTTGACATTAACTATGTCAGATAGCTATGAGGATCACATGAAATGATGCACAAAATCCACTTAATTTGGTCCCTGGTCCAGAAGGATTATCATTACTAGGTAATGTATATTTTATGAGACCAGCATTACATGAAGCGCTTTTGAATATATAATCTCCTCTTATTTTAACAATCATCTATAAGGTCAGTATTTTCATTTCCACATGATGGGTGAGGAAACCGAGACTTCTTGTGTGTAAGAGGCAGATTTCCCAAAGTCACACAGCTGCTATGGGGCAGAGCTGAAATTCAGACTTAGATCTCTCTGATTAGAGAATATGAGCCCTTAACCACTAGATTAAAATAATATGGGGCGCCTGGGTGGCTTAGTCGGTTAAGCGTCCGACTTTCGCTTAGGTCATGATCTCACGGTTCGTGGGTTCGAGCCCCGCGTCGGGCTCTGTGCTGACTGCCAGCTCAGAGCCTGGAGCCTGTTTCAGAGTCTGTGACTCCATCTCTCTCTGACCCTCCCCTGCTCACGCTGTCTCTCTCTCTCCTAGAAAAAAATAAAACATTAAAAAAATAAAAAAAATAAAATAAAATAAAATAATAGTGATAATCATATTAGTAATATGGCAACAACGTTAGTGTAGGGTTACTGGTGGCTAAATATACTACTAAAATCTTCGTGCTTGGCTGAATTCCAAATGCTTCTTGGCTATAGACACGTGTTCTCATCCAACCCTTCCTTTTATCAGCAACGCAATCTCCCTTTGGGGGAAATCTTACCTTCGCTTGTACCCAGCACAGCTGAGAACCGTGCCAGGCACTGGCACTGCTGATTAGACTGTTGCCCAGGACTCTAACCCTGGAGCAAGAGATCCAAACAGAGAGGGTGCTGGGGAGGGGAGGGGGCTTGGACACACCCCGGTAGGGTACCTGGACCAGACTGTTCCTAGTGCCAGCCCCTGACAGCCTTCTAATAAACTCCCATTTTGCTCCAGATAACCAATTTCTATGGTTTGCAACTAAAAACGCTGTGTGATAGATATATGTACTTGCAAAAAGATGGTAATGGCCAAGGGTCCTGTTGAAACTCTCCCATTAGGGGAGCACAGTTCCACCTTTTCCTCCTAAAGTCACAGCTTCTAGAGCCAGAAGGATCTTTATTGGTCATCGACAATATCCTCATTTTATGGAGGAGGAAACAGACTCGGAGATCATACGACTAGTCCAAGATGACAGAGTTAAAAGCAGCTGAGTCATGACCTCAACTGCCATCTTCTGATTTACACTCTGGTTTGATTTCCAGTGTTAAATAAATGTCTTCCCTCCTTTCAGAAGGGGGAACAAAAAGAGCTGAGACTTGAGAAAATTGGGTGGACGCAGGATGGGATACGCTGGCCGCTTTCCACCCTCTGGGCCCCCGTGGAAAGCTGCCCAAATTAGCAAAATTCCACACCCTCC